CGGCTTGGTGGGACAAGCTCCATCCGACAAAGCTCCGTTGGTGAGAGTCTCACCATGAGAGCAGGTGATCTATTCCTTAGTGTGGATCGCGCGGCCACCGACCGAACGACCGTGGCCAGGAGCTGGATCAATGGGACGCAGCCTCCGCATACGTAGAGCGCGCCGTAGGCAACACTGATAGTCACTGTGCCCGGCCAATCTTTGTTGTTGATATCTCAAGCGGCACCAGTGTTCTCTAAATCGGGGATCCCGGACTTTCGCGGAAACTTCCTCTTCATTTTCTTGAGAGCGATATTTCTCAGGATTGACAGAAGTTATCTCGCCCTGTAGCCAAAAACTCATTGGCATGATGAAAGTACACAGTTTAAACGGATAAAACTGATCCCTCGATGGGCTTTAAACTCATACACACACGCATTTCTCAGTAGCCTTTTGCTCAGTGTGGTATTCCGATGTAGAAGTCCTGCCATTCATCTCACGCAGCCTCTCAAAGGTCAAGATGAAAGAATAGCTAGGCTCCTAATGCCTCGAGTGAAGGAGATACTTCATCCTACTAGGATGATCCCAAATTGGAGCCTCTAGACTAGGGAATCTCTACTAGAGATGATCTCGGTTTCGTTCACACCGGACCTTCTGGTGAATCGTCATTTCCCACTCGGTGATTCAGGAGGGCGGTCTACCGTAGACCGAGACCACCGTAGACTGATTCAGTCAAAGATGTGAATGCGGAATGACGCGGCTCAATGTAAGAGTTGCCAACTTCAAGTTGGAATAGGTATTTATTGTCACAACAATGTTATGTTGACCAGGAGTGCATCCACAACTAATACCACGACACCTATGTACTGCCTTTCAACGACACAACAATCAGAGTTTGCAATAGAAACAACGTTATGAGAAACAATACAGTGGAGGCTGTCGGATTCACTTCTTTTGACTGCTTCTATCCATCATTGGTGAATCACGGTAACTGACGGAATGGGAAGTCCACAAGCCGGATCGCCACCAAGAGCATACCGTGTGTCGAATTGAGGATCAGTTGTGAAGGGCCAGTGATCTTTAATACATCGAGACCATACCTATATGGAAACCAAAGACATCTCAACAAGGGACAGCGAAAATTTATGATAGTG